GGGGGGGGGGGGGGGGCGGAATCTCATACAGTGAAAAAGTTATTCATTTTTTGGAAATAACACTCTTTATTACTCAAAAGGGGAAAAAAAATCACCAGAAAAGGGCAGCCAAGATAAATAGGACATTCTCAATTTCTTTACTAAAACTGTAACTTATTTGGAATCCAAATACAATATCACCAATTCAAATTACCTCTGTGCTTTAAAACTATTTTCTCGAAGAAAGACAGGTTTAACTTATGATGACATCCAACGTGCTTCAGAGTGTTTAAAAATAATAAACAGTTTAGACAGGTATAGCCTGTATGATGAATTTATAGTGCAAAAGACCCAATCGACAAGTACCCAGCCTATTAAAACAAACATGTAGACTTAGGACACTGTTTGGACATTTTTGGAGAGACAGAAACTGAGAAATACAAATCCAAAAAGCTGTTGTTGCCAGTCAGTAAAATCGTGAAGTATTCCATGCTGAAATGCTTTCTGTTGAGAGGATATTTAGCCTGATGTCATCACATTGGGCTGACACTAGGCATCAGGATGATGTGGGCTTCGTAAGAAAAAAACTGCTGGTCAAAGAGAACTTTACCTTTGACATTATTCAGCTTTACCACAACATAAAAAAACAACGTCCTAAAGGCTGCAGGCAGTTCAGAAAAGTACTATTGGAAAAGGAAACAGAAAAGTAAAAATATCCTACTGCATCATGGGACAGAAAGAAACACATCATTGATGTATTTTTTATTGTGGTAAGATATACATCACATAATATTTATCGTTTTAAGCATTTGTAAGTGTGTAATTCAGTGATGTTAAATACATTCACAATCTTGTGTCACCATCACCGCTATCTATAATCAAAACTTCATCAGACCCGACAAAAACTCTGTTACCGATAAAACAATAATTTCCCCTCCCTTCTCCCCGCAGCCCCTGCAACCACCATTCTATCTTCTGTCTCTACGAATTTGACCACTCTGAATACTTCATATAAGGGGAGTCACACAGTATTT